TCCAAGATGGTTACCGGCCAGTAGCCCTTTCCTGAGTGACATCTAAACCTGAATAACTCACCAGCCACTGCAGTCCACTGCATCAACTGCTCTGTTTCACTGGTGTGTTTCTCTGTAGAGGGCTCTGGGGTCACCAGTAATCACCCTGTGTCTGCAAGTTCAACCAGCCCTTCCCACACAATAGATCCAGGCTCTGGGAGAAGGTGCCATCTGCCATGTCCCTCTTCTTCATTGAAGTCTCTCTCTTCACTCTCCCCGTGGACTTCAATCCCCCCCCCCCCCCCCGGTACCGGGGATCAAACTCAGGTCCTTGTGCTTGCGCAGCAGGCGACAAAACCACTGAGCTAAATCCCCAACCCTGGACTTCAATTCTTGCTTCAGATCCTTCCTGGGTCCTGGGGACCCACTTCCCTTCTTCTTTTCGTCCTCAAGGTGTTACATTCCAGTGTTCAGACACCAAATCTCAGAGAGGCTCTTTTCTCTGCTGTTCATCACTCTGCCATTTCCCAGAAATCAAAAAAACTAATTTCTTCCTAGGTATGTTATTTTATATACTCATTTAAAAAACTAAATCATTAATTTGATGTGGTGTCAGATGCTTATAATCCCAGCAACTCAGAAGGATGAGTAGCTTGAGGCCAGTCTGGGCAACTTTGTAAGACTTTGTCTTAAAATTTAAAAAGGGAGTTCGGGGATTTAGCTCAGTGGCTATGCCGCCTGCTGTGCAAGCGCAAGGACCCGAGTTTTCTCCCTGATACCAAAAAAGAAAATTTAAAAAGGGGCTGGGGTTGGGTGTCTGACACACCTGTAATCCTAGCACTCCAGGAGGCTGAGAAAGAAGGATGACAAGTTTGAGCCCAGCCTAGTAAATGGGCAACTTAGCAAGACCCACTTAAAATTTTTTAAAAGGACTGGGTATGTAGCTCAGTATAATGGCCCTGGGTTCAATCCCCAGTACCAGGAAGAAAAAAAAAAAGACTAGGATATAGCTGAATGTTCCCTGTATTGAATCCTCAAGTACCCAACACACATACACACACAAATCCACTAGTAGTTATTTTTCTTTAGTGCTAATTCTTTTCTATGAACTAAATTTTTAAAGTTTTTCTAATATTCTCTCTTTCTAACCATTCTAACCTATCAAATTCAGTTTTCATTTTTGTTGTTTTTTTCTATTTACATTCAGTGTAAATTGTTCTTTTCTGACTTTTTGAGTTGAGTATTTAGTTCCTTTTCGTTCTTTCGTGTATGTTAGTAAATATTTAAGGTCATGAATTTTTTCCTATTTACTCATATAATTTTATTCTGTAGATTTTTATATATAGTGTTTCCATTATTCATTTTCTACAAATCCTGCAGTTCTTTATTGCCTTTTGACACAAGGGGTGCTTAACAGAGATTTAAAAATTTCTAAGTCAAAGGCTTCTTTTCTTTTCTTTTTCTTTTTTATTTTTGCTTTTTGAGGCAAGGTCTCCCTTTGTAGTTCAGGGCTGACCCTGAACTCACTATGTAGCCCAGGCTGACCTTGAACTCTCAGCAATCCTCCTGCGTCAGCCTCCCAAGTGCTGGGATTACAGGCATGCACCACCATGTCCAGAGTAGGCTTCTTGTCTTTTTTCAGTGCTAGGGATCAAACCCAAGGCCTCCAAGCACTCTACCATTGAGTTACATCCCTCTGTTGGCTTATAGATGCCCCCCCCCCCCCCCCCCCCGCCCCCAGCCTCCTACACTCATAGGTAGGGCTTTTGGGAAAGACTAGATCATGAGTGTGATACTGGATCAGTCCACTGATTGGCTTAACATAGTTCTGGGTGTGGATGATGGGCTTTCTGAAGAGTGAAAACCCACCTTGGATATGTATGGCACCAACCAAAAGGCTTGTAGCCTTGGTGGAAAGAAGGAAAGAAGAAGGAAGATTGCTGCTTTTTGCCTGACACACCATGATGCAGCCTCCTTTGCCATGCACCTCTGCCTTGGACTATGGACTGAAACCTCTACAAAGTAAGAGATAAACCTTTTCACCTTTAACTTCTGGTTGTCAGGTATTTGTCCCAGCAATGAGAAAGTTACTAAGACAATCCCTATCCCTCAAAGGCCTTTAAAAATGTTTATTAATTTCAAGTGTTTTACATTGTGATAAGAGATATTTCAGTGTCAGAAGCATTTCTACATAAATTTTGGGGAAAAATCATTTCATAATTAAAGTATGACTATACCTGTCTGAGGCTCAATGTACCTTGCCCCTGAGCTGGATGCCATGTGGAAACATAACTCCATTTGCCTCCAATCATGGCTGAGGTCTCAAGGGTTCCATGATGCTGTGACACTCAATGGCAAGATTACATCAGCTGAGGACATCCTGGTTCTTTGAGAACTGAGTAATAAAACAAAAGAGAAAGGTTACTTGGATAGGGACTAATTTCGTGTCAAACTTAAGTCATCCCACCCACTATTGTTAGAATGCTCTCTATCTGGTCCTCCTCAAAGAAACTCAGGATTTAAGATCTTCATCAGCTCCTCACTGTCCTAGGATTACCACTACCTCCTGGGTCACCTGATGGTCCTCCCAATTATTGTGTGTACCCAATAAATGATGGCTAGCTTGGAGAGTCTTTGTCTGTGCCTACTCTGAGGCAATGACCTCCTGGCCCCTCATAAACTTTGAAATTACTCAAGTCTCTATTGTCTTTTTTGTCTTTACCCCTTGCCATTCCCCTTTCTAGGTAGTCAGAGGATTGATCGCTCTTTGATATCCCCTTATGCCTTTGTCCTCTGGGACTTCACCCTACTGGAGAGTGCCACACTGAAGAAGGACAGCCCATAAGTTTGCTGTCCCACATGCTAGGGAAACAACTTCATCCAGTCTGGAGATGTGAACACCTGTGTGTAAGTGATACAAGACTTTCAAGCACCATCTCTAAACTGAGATAGAGTGGGTCTTTAAGGGTGTTACCATACACAATAAACAAAGTAAATAACCTTTCATATACAATCATATAGCAAAGAGCGCAAGACTATCTGAAGTCTACATCTCAAAACGGTCTAGTAGCCAGGCCTAGTGGCAAATGCCTGTAATCCCAGCACTCAGGAGGCTGAAACAGGAGGATTACCACAAGTTCAAGACCAGGCTGGGCTACATAGTGAGTTCAAGGCCAGCCTGAACTACATAGCAAAACTCCATCTCAACAAACAAACAAAAACAAAAACAAAAAGTCCTGAGTCTATTATACCATACATAGTTTCTAAATACTTCAAAAATGGGACAGAAACAGCACTTTAGAAATGTGAATTACAGAAGATTTATGCAACTAAATGTAGCTATTGCTCTAGATCTCCGGCATCACATTCCTTTACAGCTTCCTCTGAACACTTTTAAGTTGTGGCTAATGCTGCTGGTTTTATTAAACAATGTCAGTCTGAATGTTTACCCAACCAGTGTTTGCTAAAGAGCAGAGAAGGAAAAATAGTTGTGGGGAGGTTCCTGAACACAATCCAAAACATGCAGTCCTTAACTAGATATATCTTGTTTAAAAGTAATACTGATTTTGAATACTACTCCACAACAAATGTCTGAATATTAAAATTTTATATAAAATATTATACATTTATTATTATCGATTATTTAGCTCACCCCCAAAGTAGATTCTTCACGAAGACATACTTTCATTAATTTTAATTTGAAGAGGAAATGAAACCTAAAAGGGTTAAGATTTCTCCGGTTACAATTTCAACCATCCATGCAGTGATCCAGATTCAGGGAATAACACACAGACTCACACACAGTCTTCCCCCACACAATCGCTCTGCAAGCACACACTGCAGCATTACTGTCTACAACCCCACAAACTACACATAATGTTGACCTCACCTCTTGCTTACCCACATCAATCTTACCTGCACACAGTTTCCCTGTCATCCAACCAACTCCCTGCACGGTCTCTCCCAGACACTCAGCACTTCTGCCCACATTCACTAGCAGGAGGGGGCTCGCGGCTTACTCTTCGTCAGAGTCCCCGGGACGGTTTGGTCTCTCACACTCAGGTCCCACGATCACGATCGCTCTTCCAGCTCTCCAACACTCTCTGTGGCTGTCAGCCTCACGACAATGTCCGCACCTTGAGTGTAAGGGAATTCCAAGCAGCTTTCTGGGTTCAGTCTTTGTAGTCACGTCTGCCCAGTTGGCAGCCACAGCACCTCGGGTGCCACTTTGGCCACGCCTATCGGATCCCTGATGAGATTTTGGACTCCATTTCCCAGGAGGCCCTGCGGCCAGCCGCGCACTTCCGGACGTTAGCGGCCAAACTCTGGGATCCATAGCCGCTCTAAACTTATCCTGTACCAAAGATAGGTTACACCATACAAGTTAAGCAGGCAAGGAGAACTTGGTTACAGAATAATGCAGAGTTGGGCATTGTGGTGCAAGCCGGTAATCCAAACACTCGGGAGAGTGAGGTGGAGGATCGTGACTATGAAGGCAGCCTGGCTTACGTAGCGAGTCTAGGCCGCCTTGAGTTACAGAGCGAGACGCCATCTCAACAACTAAGCAGTCACATTTGAATACACTAGTTGCCGGGGATTTATAGCCCATGGAGTCAGCAGATGGTAAAGCACTAGGAGGAAGTGAGTGGGAAGAATGGAGGGGAATGTGTTTGAAGTAACTTTTAAGAGGAGGTCACCTACCCAAAAAGAAAGTTCATAGCCTAATCCGTTTGCTCTTTGGAAACCTTGTCCCCTGAGACTTTCGGAAGGCTCTGATGAGTAGCTCTGCAGGAAGCAAGTTTGGCCTGATCGAGAGTCCGTACCACAGGAATCCAACTCGGACCTTGACGGTAGGTGTCCTGTGCTTTTCTGAACTACACTTCCCAGAGGCCTCTAGGTTCGGTGCCCCCGGAGAATGACCCTTTGGGGAAGAACGGGCGGGGTTGGGTGGGTCTGAGTGCTTTGTGAGAGCTGGGTTCGAAAGAGCCGGCCTGACTCGACCACAGGAGGCGTAGGTGAGGCGGTTCCGGCCGGTAGTCTGGAAACTCCACAGAGTGCGGATTGGGGATGAGGAGGCGAGGCAGGAAGACAAGGGGAGATGTGAGGAGAGTGTGTGTGACTGTTACTGTGTGTCGTTGTACCGAACCGCTAAGACGCGAAGCAGGGCTTCATTTGCGGTTATGATCCTGAGTACGTGAATGGAATTTGTGTGCCTGAGGTGTGTTACTATGTTTGGCTGGTGTGAGGTTTCTTGAGTGTCCTCCTGTGTATTATGACCATTTTCTGAACTGTGTGAGTGGGTGAGGGAGTGTGTAGGAAGCCTCAACTGAGATTTGTGGCTATTTTCCCGTGTGTGTGATATTGTTCGTGTAGGATGCCTGTGGATTCGTTGCTTTCACTGTGTCACAAGGTGTGTGACACTGAGGTTGTGACTATATGGTACTATATGTGGTACGTGCACTTGTGTGTTTTTGCTGCCGTTTTTGGTTTAGTTTGGGGATGGCTGTGACTTTTATGTCCCCTTGGTGTGAATGAATATGTGTGAGTAGGTGTCCATATAGCCACTTTGGTGTGGGGCGTCTTTGTCCCTTTGTGACTAAAGCCACGGAAGACATCTATTAGTTCAGGGTCATATTCTGACCAGAAGTGCAACTTCCCAGCTTTTGGTTGGAGGCAGGGATTAAGTACGATGCTGCACTTCTCTGACCTCCCTCTGTATGTGAGCTCCAAAGGCTTAGCTAGAGTGACCTTTGAAATGATCCATGGGTTCCCAGAAGAGTCTAGTGTTTCCTGATTCCTTCCTTCCTCAGCTCTGCCATACTTGGATGGAGACGTCCAGAAAGGAGTAAAGAATGGTTGTTGAATTGAACATCATCTACAAGGCATCTGCAAGGTAGCTTGTCATTTCCTCTTGTCCCCTTTATCTTTGTCAGGACATAACTTACTTTCCTTTTCTTGAAAATTCTTGCCCTTATTTCTGTAACTTCCCTTTTTAGGAACTGTAGAAGCTCCAAACTCCCACTCCCCACCCCTGTCCATTTGATTGGCTCTTATTGTGAGGTGGTTTTAATTTTCCTTTATCTTTGTTTTCAAAAAAAATACCATCTCTCTGATTATAAAAGTCAAACGTGATAATTTTAAATAATTTCAAGAATACAGACATCCTAGGCAGAGGATGTAGCTCAGTGTTAGAGCACTTCCCTAGCATGCATGAAGCATTCAAGAAGCCCTGGATTTAATCAATCCCTAGTGCCAGAGGAAAAAAAAGTAGTACATAAATCCCTAAAAAAGAAAATAAATTTCCCGTGGATACTAATGCTAACTTTTAAAGATTTTCTTTCCAGTATATTTTATGTTCATATAGAAATGTATTTTTTAAAAATTGAATTTGTGGGCCAGGGATTTAGCTCAGTGGCTCTGCTGCCTGCCTCGCAAGCGCAAGGTCCCCAGTTTGATCCCCAGTACCAAAAAAATAAAAAATAAAAATTGAATTTGTATAGACTTTACCATGCAGCATATCCTAGACTTGCTCATAGAATTATATTTAAGCATTTTTCCACAAAGTTTAATTTTGAAAATATTTTTAGAAGTACACAATATTTATTTGAATGCTTATTTTCTTCCAAATTAGATACAGAAATGACATAAAAAATCCATTTGTGCAGTTTAATAAAGATCCATGTAAGGAGTAACCAGATCAAGAAATACACCTCTTGGCATTATAATATATTAATTTTTGCCAATTTGGTGGGTAGCTAAGATTATTATGTTTAATTTATATTTCTTTTATTATTAATGAAGTTGAATTCTTGGACATTACAATTTCCTTTCTGAAATGCTTCTTCAGATATTTTTCCAATTTTTATTTGGGCTGCTTTATTGACTTACAGTAGTTTATAAATACACATAAATATTTATGTAGATACATGTATATGGATGTATTAATCTTTTGTATATTAGTCTTTTTTAGTTACATGTGTGATAAATATTTTTTCCTTCTCTGGGTCAAATTTTCACTATTATCTTGTCTTTCGTGAAGTTCTGCATTTTAATGTAATGAAATCTTTTGCTATAGTGCTTAAGAAATTTTCTTTTGCCTTGAGATAATTAGGATTTTCTTCTGTATTCTCTTCTAAAAGCTTTCTAGTTTTTGGTTTTAACATTCAGGTCTTTATTGCCTGAAATTGGTTTCTGTAGGGAAAGAGTCAATTTTATTTTTTCTTCTGTGCCTGTATCCACTTGTCACAGTATCATTTATTAAAAATTAGATTTTTTTTCTGCACTGAAATGCAGTGCTATTTTTGTTAAAATCCAAGTGATTTTATACATATTTATAGAGTCTGCCAAAAAAATGTGTACACACTTCAGGAAAAGAATTTGTAGAAATATTTTAATACTAAATTTATTGAGATATCATGAGATTAATACATGTTACTTTTGGCCTCTACAATTATAAGAGTTGCTCCAAGTGGCCATTAACTTCCAGATATTTATTAGTACAGCGAACTGCTGCTTGGGTAATCTTGGTCATTGAGATTGCTGCAAATACATTTTTAATTTTTTCTCTAAGGGCCAGCAGTGTAGTGGGTTTTCTGTGATACCTGACATCCCCAAGTTCCCCCATCTGAGGATAACACCATGTGTTGAAAAAGCATCATACTATCGTAGCATATTTTTTGATTCTACATTCTGTTCTATTGGTCTGTTTGTCTCTCCTTGCAGTAATATCATACTCTCATATTCACTGTAACTTTATACAGTATTTGGAACAAGACCTCTCATATTATTGTTCCCCAAGCATATCTCGAGTGTTTGTATTCCTTTGCATTTCCATATAAATTTTTGAATTAGCTTGATTCCATCCAAGTGTCTCTTGGGGTTTTGGTTGACTATATGGATAAAAAATTAGGGAACTCTTCTAATACTACAAACTTCTGAATTGAGAGAGGTGTTCTTAATGTTTCTTCACATGTATTGCTTATTTTCTATAAATAGTTCTAGGCAGCTAGGAATGATAGTCTATTCTACAGCATATCTCTTTTTTTATGGACTGTGAGGAATCTGAACACTTCTGATAATGGTCAGTCATAGTAAAAATTGTACCCTGTGTTTTTTATATTAAGTATTATGGTGACTTTTTCACTCCATCCTTCTCTTCCTACAATAAAATCAGCCTTATTATACTGGAATGATTGTATATTGTCTTGAACAGCTAGATTATAAGAGAAAACACTTCAAAATTCCCCTGTCTAGGTCCACCAAAACATGAATTCCTTTTACATGCCTCAGATTCTTTCTCCAGATCACTAACTTCAGCCAGAATTTGAGCGGAAACATGATTTAATTTTCCTCATTATTCTTAGGCTTCAAAGTGTTGGACTTTTGACCTAACAGCTTACTGGTAACAGCAACTCTGAAAAGATAAAACTGTGGATGAAAGATTCCTTCAACATAGTGTCCTTCCACGGGTATCTTTATGTATAATTTTTTAAATTTTCTCATATTCTTAGTCTCCTTATATTTTTAGAAATGGAAGACATGAAAATTATAGACTTAAATACAGATGTAGATATTTATTGTCTAATATTTTAATTTTAATAAGATTTTATCCAGTTAAGTCTGTTTTCCATGGTATCTTTTGCTTTCCACCCTGTATTACATTTTATCTTTACTCTTCCCTCTCCACCCACTGCTCACCCCACTATCCTGTCAAGTAATTTCTGCCCATAGAACTTTTTTTTTTGCCTCTAGAACTTTGTTATCTGTTCCTATCAATCTTTTATTTCAAATACTGGCTCATGGAAAAAATTAACAAATCATCTCTCAGATTATTTTACCCACACTTATCCTCCTGTAATGTGGTATAAAGAGTCCAGGCTCTAGTATCAAAAAGACGGTGCTCATTTATGAGCTCTTTTACTAGTGAAGAAGAGATAACTCTGTCTCAATGTTGTTGAGATTGAAATAATATATGTGCAGGCCACTTTGTACACATCAGTTGTTTGATAAATATTAGTTCCTTTTCTTCTTTACTTCTTATTCTTGGGACCTCTATAGCAATTACAGTATAAAGAATTTGACTAGGGCCAAGGATTTAGCTCAGTGGTTCCACTGCCTCCCTCGAAAGCACAAGGACCCAAGTTAGATCCCCGGTACCAAGAAAAAACAAACAAACAACCCAAGAATTTGACTAAAGTCCTTTGGTTTTTTGCACAGGAACATAGTTTTGCTCCCTAACTACATAATAAAGACCTTCAGGACCAGGATTGTGTTTTTTTGTTTTGTTTTTTCTTTTTTTGGTACCAGAGATCGAACTCGGGACCTTGCGCTTGCAAGGCAGGCACTGGAACCACTGAGCTAAATCCCCGGTCCAGGATTGTGTTTTTAATTTTATTATATACGTAACTTTTAAACCCATGTGAAATTTGTTTTCCTTTGTATTAGGTATCTAAATTCAGATTTTTTCTTATTTATCTAATATTATGCTAATATAATTTCCAAATAATTTATTTCCTTTCCTTTGTGCTGCCTACTTGATATATTATTAAAATCATTTGCTTTATATTTTAATTTTCTTCAGTTCTTTGATTTGTGCTTTTACCTTTACCAAGCTTAGATTTCTTTGTTTTTGAAATCTTTTACTACCTGATGAAATAGATCATTTTTTTTCTTTCTTTCTTTTTTTTTTTTTGCGGTACCAGGGATCCAACTCAGGACCTTGCACTTGCAGGGCAGGCACAGTGCCACTGAGCTAAATCCCCGGCCCAGATAATTTCTTTTCTTAAGATTGTTGTATTCTTTATTCCTTTTACATGGCAGCTTTCAGTCTCCTTTTAAACTCACTTCTAGGTACTTTGTATTTCCATTTAGTCATATGTTTAATGTGAGAATTATTAAGAATTATGGTTTAGGGGCCAGGGATTTAGCTCAGTGATTTTGCCGCCTGCTGCACAAGCACAAGGACCCGAGTTCGATCCTCAGTACCAAAAAAAAAAAAAGAATTATGGTTTAGTGTATAATTTAGAGGCATTTAGTGTTTTCAAAATGTTGTACAACCATTAGCCTCTAGTTTTAAAAGGTTTCTATAGGTACAAAAAAATCCTGTGCCCATTTGAAATACGAAATATTTAACTTTAATGAATTCAAATTCGTGTATTTTTTTCCATTGCTTGTACATTGGTGTCAAATCTAAGAATCTGTTGCCTAATGCCAGGTCATAAAAATTTCCAAATTCTTATATTTTCTTGAAAGAGTTTATAATTTAGTTCTTCTTTAGTTTTAGGTTGTAATCTATTTTTAACTAATTGTTTATATGGAGTAAAGTAGAAGTCTGTCTTCATTCTCTTGGATATGTTTATTTAATCCTCCTCACCATTATTTGGTTCAGACTTTCTCTGACATTGAATGGATGTATCATCCTTGTTGGAAATGAGTTATTCATAGATATTTGGCTTTATTTCTAGATTCTTGATTTTTTTTATTCTTTTGGTCTCTATATGACTCCTTGTACCAATACCTTACTGCTTTAATTGCTGTGGTTATATGGAAATAATTTTAAACTTTAGAGGGATGAGTCACCTGATATTTTATCTTTTTGAATATTATTTTGGCTATCTAGAACCCATTGCAGTTCCCTGTGAATTTGAGGACTGGCTTTATCAATTCTCCATTAAGTAGTAAAAATTTGATAGAGATTGCAGTGAATCCATAGATCACTTTGGGGAGCATTGCCATATTAACAGTACATATTAAGTTTTGCAATCTATGAACATGGGATGTTACTCTGTTTCAGTACCAACTATAATTCAATTCTGGCACTGTCTAGAGTGAGTATAAGACTACATAGGTTTAAGTGTCTACGTGGTCCCCAACAAATCTGCCTGTACTTCTGACCAAGTGGCTAACAACCACTTAGTAATTTATGAGAATGAGTTATGGAACTCAAGAAAGCACTCTACTTAAAATTATAGTTTTATTGTAATGGATAAGGATACCAATCAGGAACAGCCAAATGAGAAGACACATAGAGCAAGGTCTGGAGAGGATCCAAACATAGCTTTTATGCACTTTCCCTGTGGAGCTAGAATGTGCCATCTGCTTAGCCTACCAGTTTGTCCCCTGGCCTTGAGGATCTAGAATTTTATTGGAGATTGATTATATAGGCATAATTGGTTAATCATTGGCCATGTCTGAGTCAGTATTCAGTCCCACTGTACTCCTCAGAGATGAGGCTGGCTCAGAGTCATTCTGATAACTACTACCCTAATTTTGAAGCTATCTCAAGTACCACTCTGAATGACCTCACCATAAAGTCAGGTATGATCTAACAACAAAGACATTTCTATCACTTGGGAGATTCTAAGAATCATGGAAGCCCCAAATGAGGAATCAGCTCTAGGAACCTGGGAGAAAGACCTGGTACTTTACCACACAACAGATGTCTTCCTGTGTATTTAATGACATCTTTTTTTATCTTAGATCATTTAGTTTTTTATTGTTCTGAGAAATATCTTTTTTTTTTTGTACCAGGGATTGAACTTGGGACCTTGTGCTTGTGAGGCAGGTGGCAGAACCACTGAGCTAAATCCCAGCCTCTCTTTATATTTGTGATACTGATTTTTAGCAGTAATTTTATGTGTCTTCTGTGACTAATTTCCTTATAATGGATTTTATTCATAATTGAGCTAGGAATCACAGTTATATCATTGTTCAACTTTGTTTTCCATGTAATTAACATTACCTTTTTCTTAAAAAGGGAAAGTGACTCTTGGTAATCCATAAATCATATGAATGATACTTTAAATTATATTCAAAGTCTGCTAGAATATTTTTTTCATATGTTCTGTCAGTTACCTGTGTTTGGAGATAGCCTTCCTATAATTTTTTGCTTTCTTTTCCAACTGCTTGTCCAAATATTATTCTAAAATTTGCCTTTAAAAAATTCTGCAGTCTTTTTCATTATTGTTCTTTATTTTCTGGATTCCATGTCTTTCTGTTTCCCTATTCCTTGGTTTACTGGGGCAGGTGTGTGTGTTTGTTGTGGTAGGGATCCAGTTCATGGCCTTCTGCATGCTAGGCAGGTGCTCAGGCACTGAGCCCTTATGACCCCTTCTTGATAGAGGTTGCATATAGGAAGAATAAATGAGAGTTGAACTTTGTGGGTTTTAGAGTATCTGAAAATGACTTTTAAAATGGTTACATGGATTCTTTGGTAGAATAAATATACAGTTGTATATTGAAAATGTTTTCCCTCTGAATTTTGAATTTCTAAGTTCTGTCTTACAGTTTTGTTCAGAACTCCATGTCCATTTTCATTACTAGGTTTTTGTTTATCCCCCATTTTTGCCTTTTAAAACCTTGTTTGTTTATCCCCCCTTTTTGCCTTTTAAAACCTTTTAGGGGATTTTCTTTGACCTACTATTCTAGAACCTAATAAATTTTTTTTTCTTTTTTGCAGTACTCTGGATTGAACTCGAGGCCTTCACACTGAGCTACATCTCAAGCCCTTTTTAATTTTTTATTTTGAGACAGGGTCTCACTAAGTTGTTCAGGCTGGGCTCGAACTTATTATCCTCCTGTCTCAGCTTCCCAGAGAGCTGAGATTATAGGCATGCACCACTAAGCCTGGCAAAAAAAAAAATATTTTTTAATGTGAATAATTTTTATTCTGTGTGCTAGGTATCAAATGGACCCCCTAAATGTAGAGATTCTCTCCTTCAGTTCTGGGAAATATGCTTGGATGTTTCTTTTAAAACAATACATATTCTCTGTTTTCTTTGAAAAATTTCAAAACATGAAGAAAAATTAAAAGAATATTCCAGGTACTTCTGAATACCCTTGTCTTGGTTTATTTGGGCCATTTTAACAAAATGTCAGATTGGGTAGCTTATAAACAACAGAAATTAATTTCTTCTAGTTCTGGAGGCTAGAAAGTCCATGATCAAGATGCCAGCAGATTCATTATCTGGTAAGACCTGTTTTCAAATCCATAGGTTGTACCTTCTCCCTGTGTCATCATAAAAGGCATGAGACAGCTCTCTGGGGCCTCTTTCATAAGGGCTCTGATCCCATCCATGAGGAGTCTCAGCTCATGACTTGATTAGTTTCCAAAGGCCCCGTGTCCTAATACTATCACATTAGTGATGAGGTTTCAACATTTTATGGGGGACACAAACATTCAGACCCTAACACCCATGACCTAAATTCAGAGATTGTCAAAATTCTGGTGCATTGCTTTATCTATTTTAATACACAGACCACTCCCTTCATCATTTCAAATTGAGTTGGGAATATCTTGACATTTTACCCTTAATAGTTTTAATATGTTCCCACTGGCTTGAGCCAAAGGTGGTACAAACAGATCTAACCACTTTTATTGGTCTTTTTACTAAGAAAATAAAAAGCCATCTGATGGTACAGTGATGCACGTATCATTTGTAGTTCAAGCCGCCTGGCAGCTTGAATTATGGCTCCATCATGAATGTGTTAAAGCATATTTCCTAAGTATTAACATATTTCAGGCTGGAGGTGAAGCTTGAAAGTAGAGCCCTTGCCTAGGCATATGCATGGACTTGGGTTCTATCCCCATCACCACAAAGAAAAGGAAAAACAGCATTTTAAACCTAAGAAAATTAACATTAACATTCATTAGTGTTTTTCAATCTGGAATAGCCCCTAATTTTTGTGTTATCTGACCTTGACTTTGTTGGAGAATCCAGGATAGTTGTTCCATAGGACAACCTCAGTTTATCTAACAGCTTTCTCATGAGATTCAGATTAAGTATTTTTAGCAAATGTACCACATAAGTAACTTACTGCATTACATCAGGAGATATATAATGTCATATTATCCTACTATTGTTAATGCCAAGTTTTGTCACTTAGGCTAATAGTGGTAAGTTCCAAATCTTTGCAGTATAAAGGAAATTTGGAATTGTGATCTATTCCTAGGCTAGCAGAGTGCCATAAAATGCTCTTTTGTGATGCTGGATAGGGACAGGAGGCCATGGTCCCCAGGCAGCCAAGTGACCACAAGGATAAAACAACTGATATTCTACATCTACAGTTTACTGTGTTGCTATGTTGTATCATAGGTTAGGTACATTAAGTGAATTAAGTGTAGGTATATTAAGTGTATTGTTACTTACCAGGACATAACTGGATCATAAGTTGTAGAGTGCACATATGCATATATACAGACATATGTAGAGTGTTTATATGTATATATGTATACATATATGAATTACTTTTTTACACTACGAGCAGTTGAACCCAGGGTCTTCATACTGAAGCTCTTTTTATTTAATTTTATTTTGAGACAGGGTCTTGATTGCTAAATTGCCAGGGCTGGGCTCAGCTTGAACTCGAAGTCCTCCTGCATCAGATGACAGTTTATTTGTCCATTCCTCCATTAATGTATACTTAGGTTTCCATAACCTTCATAACTTGGTTGTTGTGAATAATACATTTAACATTTGAGTGCAAATATATGTACAAGTGGATGATCTATTTGTATTTTACTATAGGCACTAAGAAGCTTATATAATCATGTATATAGTAATTTGTAGAATTTCATAGGTAATTAGCATCCCCACTTTGAGTCTTTCTGGGCTTTGGGGGCATAAATCATCTGCTTCTGAGTTTTTCTTACTTTTGATTTAGGTTTTATTTTCTTTGGTTTGTTAAGGTAGTTATTATTCATCTTTATGTTTTCTAGCTTTCGATTTTTTATGCAGTTTCCTCTTTAATTCTCTGACTTGGTAGGTTTGCTCCTTTCTAAAAATTCCTTTTTGTTCTTTTTTAGCGAAGTGTCAGGGAAGGGAAGGGATAATTACATGTGGTCTGTCTTTTTTTTTTTTTTTTAAAGCAAATGTGTGTGTCCTTTTTTAAGAGAAATTTTGCTTTTAGAAATTTATTTGTACCCAGGTATGGTGGTACACACCTGTAATCCCAGCACTAAGGGAGGTTGAGGCAGGGGATTGCAAGTTTGAGTCATGCCTGGGCAATTTAGAAAGACCCTGTCTCAAAATAAAAACTTAGCCAAGTGTGGTACTACATGCATGTGATCCCAGCACTCTGGAAGCTGAGTCAGGAGGATCACAAGTTTGAGCCCAGCCTCTCGAATTTAGTGACTTAGTGAGACACAGTCTCAAAATTTAAAAAAATTTAAAAGGGCTGGGAGTGTAGCCTGTTGCAAAGGTTCTAGGTTCTACTCCCAGTACAGAGAGAGAGAAGGGAGAGAGAGAAGGACGGGAGGGAGGGTACTTAGTGGTAGAGCATCTGTGGATTTGAACCCTAGTACCAAGGGAAAAGATAAAAGTTTAATTTTAGGGGTAATAAATTTTGAAAATCATTTATTCATCATTGAATAAATTTTAGTCCTTTTGTATGTGCCATAGTTCAAATTTATTTTTGTTTGTTTGTTTATTTATTTATTTACTTATTGAGATAAGGTCTAGTTATGTAGTCCAGGCTGGTCTTGAACTCAGTATGTAGCCAAGTCTGGCCTTGACCTCGAAGTGAACCTCCTGCCTTAGCCTCTCAAGTGCTGGGATGACAGGTGTGCACCATTATGCCTGGCTCATGGTTCAAATTGATTAAAGTAACAGACATTGTTTTTGCTTTCTTGAATCTTAGCTCTGTTGAAGCAGGCAGATATTAATTAGCTCATCACTCAAATAAATAGGAAAATTTCAATTGTAGGGGACATAGGTAAAATTACCCATTACCAAAGCTATACACAAAGAAAGGAGGAAAAGCACTCAGTGAAATAATGACAGGGTATCCATAGTTAAGAGAGTGTTCTGGAAATGCTTTAATAGGACATGCCATTTAACAAAGACCTGTATGAGGGCCAGAACTTGCAAGGTCAAAAGTAAGGGCAACGGGTAAGGGAAGATTTTGGAAAACATTTCAGCAGGTCAAAACAGAGCAGGGTGGACTTGTACACTTTCATGCATTTGAAGAACAAAAGGCTTGTGTAGCTATACTTATTGTTGGGAATAAAGAGGCAATCAGAGGGCCAGGGATTTAGCTCAGTGGTTTCACCGCCTGCTGCGCAAGCGCAAGGACTCGAGTTGAATCCCTGGTACCAAAAAAAAAAAAAAAAAAGGCAATCAGAGACAGGCAAGAAGCAGTTTACTGAAAGTTTCTAAGACCAAGTGAAGTAGTACAGGTCTTCTCCTGAGGACAGCAGAAAGTCATTGAAACATCTTGGATGTAACAGTGCCAGGCTAAATATCACTCTGGCTGCTAATGACTGAAAGGTTTTGGTGTCCAAGAAATGATTTTGGCTTGGATTAGCCATGCGCAGTTGAGATTGAAAGAACAATTGCAAGACATTTAAATCCTCTTCTTAATAAACTTGCTGTATGATTATTGTAGACAGAAACTGGTGTTGGAACATTTTCACCTACTGAGGCTTGAAGTAGGGTCCTAATTGATGTTTTTAAATCCCTTTCCTAGTCTCTACTTTGTTATTTAAGTCTTCTAAAATAATAGTTAATGCTTTGTAATTACAGTGGACCCTCAAGTTATGACCGGCCTGAATATGAACAACTTGGATTAATTAGGTTAATGAAAGATTTAACTGCTTCTTATTATCTATAGCATATACCCAGGTAAACATCCAGATCTCAACTGTATTGACTTACAACCAACTTAAATTACAACCAGCTCTCAGGAACCGATAGTTTGTAAGTCAAGGGTCCACTGTACTTTTTGCAAGTACATCAGTACATATGTGTGATTTCAATGTTATTCAAAAATAATCAGAGCTGTGGTTCAGAATACTCATATATTTTCCTCCTTGTAATTTTCCAGTAGTATCATATTAACTCCCGTTTTCCCTTCTCTAATTTTATAACTGGATTCCCAGTTACTCTACTGTACTTCTGTTATTTCTCATTTGTATTCCAAAGGGTATCCTCATAGATTTCCCATGCAAACATTATTTTTCTCAGCTGGCATAGAGGAATCTTCCTTCTCCATTGTTTGTTCCCTTCTCATTCAGCACATTAGTCTTTCACTTGCTACATCTGGAGTACCTTCCTCTTCTATTCTTTCAGTGTGTGTGCAATAAATGTCTGTTACTTGACCATTTATTCCTTATTTTTCAACTATGCTGAGTAATAAGTATGATAACTACTGTCATAAATATATATGACACTAGATTCATTATATAAAAAGCTAGAATCAAGTTAGGACATTTGTGTATTTATCAAACTCCCTAAATCTGCGGGGAATTTTTCCTAAATGACTATTTAGGAGCAACAGATTTAATCTATTTTCCTTAATGCCTTTTTTTACCTTCCAGTGTGATCTTTTCCCATTCATTTTGCTTTCCTGATCTATTTTCAAAATGCCCAACCATATTTGAGAACTGTATAAGTTACTCACTTTTTATGAAAATTAATTTCAGTTAAGTCTTTCATATCTATTATAAAAGTTTTACTTCTCCCAGAACACCAAAAAAGTGAATGTTTGCTTTTATATTTTCTTTCAGACCTGTGAATCAAGGTTGAGACCAAGAAATTATTTCTGAAAAAGGATATTTATGGAATAGAATCATCCTGATGGGAGATAATGGAAAGACTTACAAAACACAGCATTGAGTATTCAAGTTTCAGAGGTGATTGGGAATGGAAAAGCCAGTTTGAGAGAAAACAGGGATCTCAGGAAGGACATTTCAGTCACATGATATTTACTCCTGAAGACATGCCCACTCTCAGTACCCAGCATCAGACAGTTCACACTGATGAGAAACTCCTTGAATGTAAGGAATGTGGGAAGGATTTTAGTTTTGTATCAGTCCTTATACGACACCAGCAAATTCATACTGGTAAGAAACCTTATGAGTGTAAAGAATGTGGCAAGGCCTTTGGTAGTGGTGCAAACCTTGCATACCATCAGAGAATTCACACTGGTGAGAAACCTTATGAATGTAAGGAATGTGGAAAAGCCTTTGGTAGTGGCTCAAACCTTACTCACCACCAGAGAATTCATACTGGTGAGAAACCATATGAATGTAAGGAATGTGGGAAAGCCTTTAGTTTTGGATCAGGCCTTATTCGACATCAGATAATTCATAGTGGTGAAAAGCCTTATGAGTGTAAGGAATGTGGGAAGTCCTTTAGTTTCGAATCAGCTCTTACTCGGCATCACAGAATTCACACAGGTGAGAAACCTTATGAGTGTAAAGATTGTGGGAAAGCTTTTGGCAGTGGTTCAAATCTTATTCAACATCAGAGGGTTCATACTGGTGAGAAACCTTATGAATGTAAAGCATGCGGAATGGCATTTAGCAGTGGTTCAGCCCTTAATCGGCATCAGAGAATTCATACGGGTGAGAAACCATATATATGTATTGAATGTGGAAAGCCCTTTAGTTTTGGATCAGCCCTTACTCGACATCAAAGAATTCACACTGGTGAGAAACCTTATATTTGTAAGGAATGTGGGAAAGCTTTTAATAGTGGCTCAGATCTCACTCAACATCAGAGAATTCACACTGGTGAGAAACCCTATGAGTGTAAGGAATGTAAGAAAGCCTTTAGAAGTGGTTCAAAACTTATTCAGCATCAAAGAATGCACACTGGGGAGAGACCCTATGAATGTAAGGAATGTGGCAAGGCCTTTAGTAGTGGCTCAGATCTTACTCAACATCACCGAATTCATACTGGTGAGAAACCATATGAATGTAGAGAATGTGGGAAGGCCTTTGCTAGTGGCTCAAAACTTATTCAACACCAGCTAATTCATTCTGGTGAAAAACCCTATGAATGTAAAGAATGTAGAAAGTCCTTTAGTAGTAGTTCTGCTCTTAATAGACACCAGAGAATACACTGGTAAGAAAACTTATGAATGTAAGGAATATGGGAAAGCTTTTCTTAGTGACTAGAATGTTATTCAACATCAACATCAGAGATATCACACTGGTAAGAAACCTTATCAATATAAGGAATATGGGAAGCTTTTGGGAGAGTTGAGATTTTCAGCAACATAAGAAGAGCCACACAAGTGAGAAGTTTGATGAACTAGAAATTCTGTGAAGTGAAATTAAGTGATAAAAGGACTTTCAACACATGACACAAGAAAATTCATAGTGGTGAAAATCTTTACAAATATAATTAAGGCACACATGCCTTGTGCTTCACAGGATAGTTAGCCTAAGAGAATTAATACAGGAAAAAAGTACCCTGAATAAAATATATATTGGAAGATCTTTATATTCATTTCCTTCTCAGGAAGTTCAAAATAAATGTGAAAATGGAAAAAAGTTTATTGTATTTTACCTTATTTTAAGCATTGAAAAAATAATTTTTTGGCTAAACTTACGACTTTCATTTTAAAAAATGTCTTTTTTATGTGTATTTTTTGAGACAGGGTCTCACTGTGTAGTCCTGGCCTTGAACTTGCAATGCTGCCCGGGCTGGCTTTGAGCTCCCCTCCTCCTGCATCAGCTCCCCAATATGTATTATACAGAAGTAAAATCCATCTTAAAGTGATTTTATTTATTGAAAGTCTAAATGTATCTTTTTCCCCTCTCTCAATTCTCTTCCTAACACCATTTATTAAATAACTATTTTCATGTTGTTTTTATTGACTATTTGATGTTATATTTTTATTTATATAAATCTTGGATGGCAGGTCAGTGTTTGTTTTTTTAAAATTTTGTGTATATGTATTTGTGTCTCACTCTGCTTATGTTAGGTAACTATTACCTTTAAGTATCTTTTAATATCTGATGTATCTGTACCTTTTATTTTGAATGATTTTTATTTTCTTTTAATAAAAATTATACTCCTGATTTTTGAAAAACTTTTCCCCATGAAAATGTAGAGAAGAACAACAAAAAGATATGGTTATCTGTAATCTTACTAATCATAGATAAGCACTGTCAATCTTGGAGCAAACCCTGTTTTTTAAGCAAAAGATGATTATGTTATCATATAACCAGCCTTTAATATTCCTTACCTGTAACTATATTGTCACTACTTTATTTTCTTTATTATTTACCTGTATTTATCCCAATGCTATTTTGTCAAATATTGAAATTTTTGCCATTATAAACAGTTACCTTAAATGTCCCCTTTGAATGTGTTTGCATTATTTATTTGTCTTTCCTTTCAGAGAATATGTGACTCTCTTCTGCTTGTAAAAGATTTATACATTACAGATCAAGCTGTGCTTCCCTGTTACTGTTCCTGACTTCAGTTCTTCCTCAGTGTTAATTGACTTAATCTTCCAGATTCTTTTATATGAGTATATGATATACATATCGTTATGTGGGCATGGTTAGAGTACTTCAGAGCATTGTTATGTGAATTCTGTAATTGTGCCTAATACATAATAAACACTTGGTTAAGACAACCCATCATAATTGTTATTATTTATGGAAAAACTTTTAATAATGACCCATAACTTACCAATAAATATCTCATAATGGAGAAAAACAGTCATGTAAATGAATTTGATCACTATTTATTAAGTCTGATCACCACTTATTCCTTAAGAATAAGAATAATTCACTCTGAAGAAAAACCTGAGATAAAGTGTGAGAAGGCAAATACTCCATAAAATTTGTATCATGGCGGAAATAAAAATAAAGCTATGGTATCCCCTGCATAAAACTCTGCCAGACATGGTAGAGTACACCTATAATCCCATTATTCAGGAGGCTGAGGCAGGAGGATTACCATGAGTTTCAGCTTGGGCTATGTAGTGAGTTCAAGGCCAGCCTGAACTACATAGTGAGACCCTGTCTTAAACAAAACAAAACACCTGAACATAAACTCAGTGCCATCGGCATCATTCTTTGGTTAAAACAAAACCCAACCCGGGCCAGGATTTAGCTCAGTGGTTCCACTGCCTGCCCCACAAGCTCAAGGTCTTGAGTTTGATCCCAGGTACAAAAACAAACAAACAAAACCCAAACTTTTTTAAGGTACTGGGGATTGAGTGCAGGGCTTTCCACTAAGTTATATCCCCAGCCCTTTTTATTTCTTGAGGCAGGGTCTTGATAAGTTGCCCAGGCTGGCCTTGAACTTGCAGCCCTCCTGCCTCACCATCCTAAGGAGTTGGATTACAGGTATGTGGCATGACCTGGCCTAAAATTACATTTTTGTTTAAAATAAATGTCACTGAGTAAAATACATAACAAAATTGTGAGGATCTGCTACATCTTACACTGGGAAAATATAGTCCTAAATTCATTAATATGTTAGAATATAAAGGTGATTATGAATAAAGAAACTAATATAAACACAAGATGTTGGGGAAAAGAACAACAACAAAACCCCTAAAATAATGAAAGTTAAAAGTAAAGGGAAAATAACTTAAATACAAAGAGTAAAAAAAAAAAAGTTAAATTAATCATCACAACCTACTTATTTGGGAAAAAATGAATATAACTGCAATTTTGGTAAATATAGATTAAGAATAGTATGAATAAGGGTCTTTATTCTATGTTTTAAGATTTTACAATTACATAATTACATAGTATTTTGAAATTTAACATGCACATTGTGGAAAGAGCTTAAATTACCAGAATTGACTCTAAAGAGGCATAGAGATAATTAGAATATAAGAAATATGAAGCAAAAATTCTTATTTCTAAAAAAGCTGGAAAAAAATTCCTTCTAGGCAAAGTAATCATGGGTATGACTTTTCTACCCAATCTTTAAGTCAAATCCTTTGAGAAAATATTTTGGCATTCAGTAACATTCTTCATAAGAAAAGGAAACAAAAGATGAAAACCATCACAGTATATTTTATAATTTGAGATGACTGAGTTATTTTTTCTAAATTTCTAAGGTAGTATACAATTGCAGTGGTCAAAGGTTAAAGCATTTTATTATATTTAAGATTCTACATTTGTAAGGTGCACCATTTTAAACACATAGTAGTACTAATTTTTAAATTTTGCAGACTAATGTATAATAATTGAATATAAATTTAATTCCAACTTGAGATATTAAAATATGGAATAAAAATATATTTTAAAACTAGTGAAGTATGGGATTTTTATGTTTCCTTTAGATTTTCATATTTGTTGCTATAAAAAAGTGTGTAATTATCTTTCAGTTTTCAATAGCTATATATTTATCTCCTCATAATTTTGTTTATTTTTAAACCATTATTGCTCTAAATTTATTTGAGGAGATAATGTTTGTTTGAATTCCTGTGTCAGGAAACCTTTGTCTTGGTTGTATTCTTGTTTCAATTATTTGCTTGCTTTGTTTTTTTTCTTCTTTTCTTTTTTTTTTTTGGTACTGGGGATCAAACTCGGGTCCTTGTGCTTGCTTAGCAGGCGGCATTCTTTTCTTTTTTGAAACAAGGTCTTGTTTTGTAATGCAGACTGGCCTTGAAGTCACTGTGTAGTCCAAGGTGGCCTTGAACTTACGGCAGTCCTCCTGCCTTGTCTCCTGAGTACTGGGATTACAGGTGTGCACCACCATGCCTGGATTTATTTGCTTTTTTATAGTTAAGTATATTTCAGTATTAATTCCTTGTGTATTTTGTCCTGTTACTTGTTTGTTTTACTGTGACACAGGTTCGCAGTAAGTCACTAAATTGCCCAGGCTGTGCTCAATCTTGTAGTCTGTATGCCTCATCTCCCTCAGCCTCCCAAATAGCTGGGATCATACATGTGTGCCACTGTGCCTGGCTTTTTCTCCGTTTTGGTTTCTGTTTCTGTTTTTGTTTTTGAGACAGGGTCTCACTTTGTACCCCAGGCTGGCTTTGAACTCATGTCAATCCTCCTGCCTCAGCCTCCTGAGTGCTGGGATTACAGGTGTGTACCACTACACCCAGCTTTTTTTTTTTTTCTTGTTTTCTTGAATGGAATATGGGTGCTTAGGTACAATATTTTCTGTCCCTTTTCAGTTGGAAACATTGGCTGCAGGACTCCCTTTGAGTATTGCTCGATGGCCCATAGTTTTTTTTATTAGCATCTAGATATTTTTTGTTTTAATTTAAAATTCCTTTTTATTCACTAGTTGTATATGTTTTCAAATTTTCAAAAATTTGCTCTGAAATAAGATTTAACATATGAAATTATAATGTATATGTGTTCTGTAAAAACATCATTAGAAAGTTAAAACAATATATTCTTGTGACCCAATACAAGTTGTCTTTTGTATGTGTTTGGTAGACATGTGATATGAAATAATATTCTCTGTAAGACACAAAGTTCCTTAAAATTGTATTGTATTAGCCATGTTAATATAATACATATTCTTTGGTTATTTGATTTATTTTATTCTGAAAAACATGCAACTACTTATTTTTCTATGTCACCTATTAATAGATTTTATTTTTTATGTTTAGTTACATTTTGTTTTTATGTTTAGTTGGCTTAAGCTTACTATATTATGGTTTTTATCTATATGTACCTATGAAATGATGTTAAATTCCAGTTTTTCTACTATTAATATTGAAAATTTTGTTAGGGTTGATCTGTACTTTATCATTTGTGTATCAACATACTAATTATGGTCTTGTCAACAACATATAATTGGTGTTTCATTTTTTAACCTAGTTCGATACTGTCCTTCACTTGGGCATTTTATATATACACATAACTGATATATTTGACTTGATCTTTTCTTCTTATATATTATATGTGATTAACACTATGTTCAGGCCCACTTAACTCCCATGAATCACCTTTTAAAATGTCTTTCTCAGCTAGGCGTGGTGGCGCATGCCTATAGTCCCAGCACCTGACAGGCTGAGGCAGGAGGTTCACCATGAATTTGAGGCCAGCCTGGGCTATATAGTGAGTTCAAGATCAGCCTGGACTACATAGCAAGACTCTGTCTCAAAAAACGAACATAAATAAATAAATAAACAAACAAATAAATAAATTTCTTTCTCTGCTGCAGAGTGGAAAGGTTAACTAAATTTCTTTTTTTGGTAACTAAATTTCTAACTCTGTAAGGGTTTGTCTTCCAGGACTGAAGTTTTGTAAGACTCAATCTTTGACTTCTTTTTTGTTTTATACTCACTCCCTTAGTTATCTCATCTGGCTTCTTTTTTTTGGTACGGAGGATGGAACTCAGGTCCTTGCGCTTGAGAAGCAGGCGACGGAACCACTGAGCTAAATCCCCAGCCCAGTTATCTCATCTGAATGAGTTTTTTCCCCTTGAACTCCACACTCACTGCATCCAGGAGCCTTCCTAAAATTCATTTGAATTCACTTTTGTTGAGCTATAATGTACAGATGGTAACAGCCCGCATCTTAAATGCAAAACTTGAAGTGTTTTATATACCAGTGTAACCTCTACCAAAACAGATACACAGCATTTCTAGCATCTAAGAAGCCGTCTACCCCACTACCCAGAGGTAGCCACTCTCCAAACTTCTTTCATTGCAGATATGCTTTACATGTTTTTGAAGTACATGTAAATAGAATCATACATACATTGAAACTTTTTGTGTCTGGCTCCTTTTGCTCAGCATTATGTCTGAGTGTCATACTGTCTAATTTATATGTTGTTACTGCATGTGGGGATTACATTGAGTTAGGGAAACTCTAAAGACTGAGAGAACAGTTCCCACAAAATTGCTCTCACACCACCCACATGTTCAGGAATTCTCAGAGCCACCTGCATTTCAGATCAGCTGGCTATAGATTTAGGGGTTCTCATAACTACTATTAGATTTGATAATTTAATGATTAATATATCTCAAAAGAGTATACTTGTTACAGTTTTTTTGTGGGTTTTTTTTGGTACTGGGGATCGAACTTAGGTCCTTGCGCTTGCAAGGCAGGCGGCAGAACCACTAACAACTGAGCTAAATCCCCAGCCCCATTATTACAGTTTTATTATAGCAAAAAGTTAACAAATTAGAACCAGCCAAAGGAAAAATGCATAATGCTGGGAGGGGACCACATGTGAAGCATCTGGTCATCCAGTGCCTTTGGAGTCCTGAGTGATGCTATCTTCCTTCAGGTGGATGTATAACAGTAAAATAGAGAATTGCCAACTAGGAAGCTCACGGGAGCCTTTGGTTTCCAAGGGTTTTACTGGTGTTCTATCACATGCTGCCTACATAGGTGACCTTTCATTTCCTGCATGCTCGGTGGTTTGGGTAATGCTGTTAGTCTTTAATTCCCCCAGAGGTCAAAACTGATAGAGCCTATCTAAAGACCCCAACATAAACCATATTGTTACATGGTCTCTTGGCCCCCAAACCCTAAACTAAACAAAGACACTTTTGTTAGGCAGGATGTTCCGAGGCCTAGAGATTCACTGCCCAGTATCTGAGGGTAAAAGCCAGGCCTCTCATTTGGTACAGTTAATTTTTCACAATACAGGAATATACTTTGATTTAGTTATTGTGTTGTTGATAGATATTTACATAGTTTCCT